TTGTGCCGGGGCTTTGGCTGCAGGAACCACGTGGCGATTAGGGACAAGGGTCCTTCTGCAGGATGTTTTGCATAATTTCCCCTTGTTTTGCAATTTCCAAGAGCTTAGGAGAGAAGAAAAGCCCTGTTTTGCCCATGCTCCAGCAGCAGCCGGTCCCAGTCTCACCCAGCCCTGCATCTCTTGGTGGCCATTCGCTCCCTTCCAAAATCTGCTCTCCTGTCCCCTCTCCAAAGCTCTCTGGTCCCTGTCCCCTCCTGCCAGCGAGCAGGACTTTGGCTCTGGGGCAGAGTCTGCCTTCCCCACTCATTCATTTCATTGGTGCCTTTCCAACACCTCCATGAATCCCCAGGGCAGGAAGCCTTGGCCAGCTGCTGAGGACACCCTGGACTGGGGACAATGCCAGGTCCCACCGGACAGGTTCAGGTTGGGCATGGCCACAGGGGCCAGGACAGAGCTCCCATTCCTCCAGCAAAGGGTCAAGGGTAGCACGTGTCCCCCGACATGTGGCCCTGTGCCGGTCTCTGTCCCTTTCCACTGGTGGATGATGTTTTGCAGGATCTCCTGCATCCACAACACAGGCAGAGCAGGATAAGACATCACCCCCCAGCTCCATGTCCTTTCCCAGCATTTCCCACTCCAGCAGCACATCCCAACGTGCTCAGACCTCACCGTGGCTGTGGTCCCTCCTTGAAAAGCCCACGCTGGAGATGCCATGGCCAGGGAGAGCCTTGCTGGGGACATCAGTGAGGAGAAGGAATGGACCTGGTGGTGACGTGTCCTCAGGGTGGATTGATGTGAATCAGTAATTGAAACCAGTGATTTTTGTTCCTGAGTAAGTTGAGGAAGCAGGAAACCTGTTGAGATAAAGCTTGCCAAATGTCCTCTTCTGTTGCAGTTTTATTTGTGGGTGCTTGTCCTCAAAGGAAGCTTGCTTAGGAATGGTTCAATCACACACTGGGGCTTTATCTGCTGGCTGGATCTCTGCTCTCCTCCGAGCAGCTTGGCACCGTGCAGCTGCTCAGGCTCTTTTTCCTTGTGCATTTCTTACATCAGACTATTATTATTATTATTATTATTATTATTATTATTATTATTATTATTATTATTATTATTATTTATTGGCTTCTTCATATCTTAGTTGGTTGTTGACCTATGTCACCAGCATTGGCTTTGGTCACTGAATGCTGCAGCTCTCTGGTCGTGTTGGGCTCAAGACTTCACACTGACTTGCATTCAAATGTTAGAAGAGGAAAATAAATCTGGTGCCTCATGTCCTTGGCAGTGTTGTGGCTTGTGGAGATGCAGACGCTGGGGGGGGGGC